GTGTGTGTGTGTGTGTGTGTGTATATTTATGTATATATCACAGCATTTATTATTATTTAATTTATTTATAATTTTTAATTATTTTGATTGATTTACCGCATATTATAGCATTGTTTATGCTGAATTCTCTTGATGCAGATCTTACACATTTCTTATCACTGCACTTTTTGCTGCCTGGGAAACTTTCTGACCTTTCATTGTAAATCTGAGTGCCTGTTAAGATGAACAGGTAGTTCAGAATGTCACAGCGCAGCTTTTCTGTCACATCCGACGTGTATGAGTGCAGTTCGATGGAAAATTTGCTCTGATGGATCCCAGTGACACTGAGTTATGCTGTTCAGTCAGCAATTTTTCTCACTTGAGTGGTTCTGATTTCCTCTCCACATGAGCTCCCACGTCTCATCACAGGGAAAAAAAACAAAAACACAGAAGACGGGCTGCTGCATAAGAGCCGGGCTTCTCGTTTAAGCTGATTACATTTATAAATCCTTTTATTGATTAAACATTTTGCAGTCTAAATGGTCAGTGCATATGCAATAATTTGATATTCTGGCTTGGGATGAAGATCTGTTCATAATATCTTCAAAACAGAGATCAACTGCTCACTGGATTATTAATTTTGGGCTTTTTTTATTTTTGGAGTATTAATTTTTCTATGGGGACAGCAAGACGGGGAATGAGATCGACTTATGTTGCAGGTTGGATTCGAACCTGTATTTCTCATGTGATCACCAAAGCTCCACAAAAAAGTATTTTCTAATCATGCATTTATAATCACATTCCCGTTGAAGATCTAAAACAAACACAGCCCACAAATACAAAATTAGGCCGTTATGTAATGCAAAACCCATATGCCAAAAAGCAACTTTTTCATATTTATCCGTCCTTGCAGAAAGAAGAAACTGTCCTGTAATGAATTTCTCATAAAGCACTGCCCTGTGTTTCCACTCCCAGCAGTCCCTGCTCTTCACAGCATCACAAATGCACCCAGAAATACTCGCATCTGGGTAGAGCTGTACTGATTATCAAAATGCAAAGACTGCCATTTTACTGAATAAATATTTCATATATGTTTGGCCAAAAATGTTGTAAATATATCAATATGACTATTTATTTTACTTTTTTAAATGGTATAGTTATATTGATATATAATGACAAATGTTTTGGCCAAAGTGTGCATTCCTATAACAAACACAGCAAACCTGGAGCAAGCAAGATAGAAAGCAAGAAAGAAAGAAAGAAAATCACAATTTATATTTAAAATGTCAAAATATTTTTTTTTAATTTTAAATATTGCAAGCATTTAATGTTTAAAATAAGAAAAAGTGATTTCCTGTCACGCTGAGGTACATTTTATCTGCTGAGTCTGATTGATGAGGACAAAAATATCACAGCAGCCAGCCAAGAAAGACACAAGCTAAGCAAAAGCTTCGTGCAATCTTTCCTTTTAATCCTCAATTTGAAGATTACTTTTACCTTGGCTTTTTGGGATTTAAATTGCACTTTGCACTAATGGATCCACCTTGCAAGCATGCTGCCTCCCGCCTTTACAGGGCATTGCTATGGCAACAGAGCGTGTGCGAGCAGCGGGGAGAGGGGAGCGTCAGGCCGGGACGCCTGTGCCTCTTGCAGAGCTACAGCTTTCAGCCTGACTGTTATTGTTTGTAACGCTGCACACTAGCATTTGGTTGACAAGTTTGTGGGGATTAATGTGGGAATATTTATGGAAAGTAGTTGAAGGAATAAACAGGAGCTGGAAGTATAAAAATATAGTGCCATGGCTTAGTGGTTAGCATAGCACAGCATACATGCATTGAGCAGTAGTGCTTATGCAGGAAATGCAAGTTTGATTTTGAGAAGAATCTCAAGAAGCGGGAAAGCATGAAATACCCAATCACCATGTGCACCCGGGGAGCCTGTGTCAGTAATTACAACAGAATTGACTTGCTTTAAATATAACTACTTGCAAGAACTTAATAATAAAAGGAATAACAGTTCATCCAAAAATGAAAATTAGTTTTCATTTACTCACCATCAAGCATCCAAATATAATATTTAATATTACAGAGGAATTAAAAGTACATTTCCCCAGAAAATCGCAATTCTCTTTTGAAAAGATTCACATTTAAATAGGAAAAAAATTTAAAAATGCGGGAATGCAGGAAATACTCAATCACCATGTGCGCCCTTTGAGCCTGCATTAATACAATAACAATTATTGCACAGAATGTTGTCAAATCAAAAAAGTATTTCAACACTGACGCAAAGAGACAGGAATACTAGGTACCATCAATCATCCAAATATATTTAATACTATTGAGAAACTAAATGTGCATTTCCCCAATAAATCACAACAATCATTTGTAGAGATTCTCATTTTATTAGGAAGAATCTCAAAAAGTGGGAAAGTAGGAAATACCCAATCACCATGTGTGCCCTTGGAGCCTGCGTCAGTACAATCACAACTACTGCATCAAATTTACTCAAATCAAATCTATATACATGAACCTAATTGCAAAATGTAAAGGAATAGTTCACCCAAAATTTAAAATTAGTTATCATTTACTCACTATGAAGCATCCAAATATACAGTGTGTATAGAAAAGAATCACCCCCCTTTAAAATAATGACATTTTGTTGCTTTGCAGCCTGAAATGAAGACGGACCGTTTTTGTTTTATCCAGCTGTATTTACTCAGTGCAACTTATAACATCCAAGAGAAAGATAGAACACCAACATGTCAGAAAAATAAATAAAAAACAGAATCACTGAGTTGGAAAAAAGAAAACCTAATAACAAAACGTACTGCCTCTATTCACGATCGGCAAGCATTGATGCCAAGAGACAGGAAGTAGGTCAAGTGTGCATACGGCACTGGTTTGTGAATTATGCAGAAGTCTATGTCTCGAATGCAATAACATTAGTTCGGGTTCATGCCATGCAGATGTATGTATACTACATATAAAATATGAGTTCTTGGACTTCTCAAAATTGAGACGGGTGGACTTTAAGTAATGTAGTCGCTTCATTGTAGAAACTCATTTTCTGTATAAATTTAACAAGCAAGCATTTTTCTCCGGAAATAAAAATGTTCTGAGTGCTGTCACATTGTCAGTTCCCTACTGCGCATGTATGTAAATAACATCCTAGACTAGAGTCTAGAGCGCTAAATAAGACTCTCTCTCATTGTCTGCCAGGGCCAGATATAGCGTCATGTCACTGAGAGGCTGCATACGTGCATCTCTGCTGTTATAATTTACACTTGTCAAAACATTCATTAGTCTTAATTAAGCACAATTCATTCTCAGAGTAATTGTATCACATCTATGCGTGCTGTTTGACTACCAGACTGATTAAAATTAATTAAACCCTGAACACAATGGCTATTATAACAATGTTTTTCTCACTGTGGCGTGACTATGTGGGTGAGAGTGTGATCTGCGTATGTGTTCATATGTATGTATTTCTGAGTGAGTCTATAATGTAGAATGAATGCGGGGTTGTGTGTGGGTGGCCGGCAGCTGCAGGAGCAAATACGATTCTTCAGGAGAGAGAGGGAGAGAGAGAGAGAGATGATAAAGCAATAAAGACATTTTTCCATATACGATTTTCCTTAAATGTCTGAATTTGAATTAAAGTTACATTTCCAAAACTTCCTACGCAGTCCATCCAAGCCATTTATGCAAACTAAGAATGTCAATGTAATGATGTCCGAGCTACAAACACATCAACATAGGGCTGGACGATATGGCCAAAATTGATATCACGATATATTTCTTAATTTCAGTCGATACGATATAATTCCGATATCGATATGACTACTATTTATCTGAAATGGAAATCTTTTGTAACATTATAAATGTCTTTATCTTAAGCATCCTTGCTAAATAAAAGTATTAATTTCTATAATTTCTTAGAAATTATCAATTCAAAGTGTGACATCACTTCAAAAGGAGATATTTTATTTAACAGAAATCCATTTTCAAAAACTACAACGAACGACTCGTTTGGACTACAACGCATATTTTCTGGGATTTGTGATATCACAAATATGGACGAATGAGACGAGACCTGGTTGAGCTGCACTAGAGAAGACAACGAGTGTTATCACTATGTCGGAGACACACTAGCTTTCCCAAGGCAGACTAACTTAAGAGTGGTTACAATCATCCGGGTTTAAATCGCGCTCAGATTGATTTGATATTGACGCAATATTTACACTGAAGCTCGCAGGCAGCTATGGTAAGGGGCATGACATTTCCCGACCAGGCGCCGAGTGGAGCCAATCACAACACACACTGGCCCAGCTACTTTTCCACGACATTCTAATTTATTGAGATGCACCTGTATATCTGCAGCATATTGGTTGATATTTAATTGATTAATTTAATTGTTCATGCATATTTCTTCTATTTTTGCATTTAGATTAGCTTTGTCATCATGTATCGCTCACTGAAAGCAGTGTTGTTATTGGTAACTAAAATGATTAAAAATATTTTTTGTTTTTGTAAATAATGCTGAAATAAAATAAACCGTAAATAAAATAAATAAATAAAAATGAAACATAAATATTAGATTAAACACTTAAACTGAAAAAGAAAACCCTTGTAAATTATTAATGCTAAAACCGAAATTATAGCTAAATTGAAATATTCAAACATAATAATAATAAAAATGACAAAACCACAAAGCCAACATTTTTAATTTTTAAAAAAGAGCTGTCAATCGTTTTAAAAAAATAGTCACATAGATATCTGTAATTAATCACAATTAATTACACAAATGCTAATTCAACATTATTAAATACTATATAAATATAATATAAATAATACAAAAATAACACTTAATTTTTAAAAACAGAAAATCTCAATACTTTAATGTTATGATGCCAAAATTCATTTGTAGCATTTAAAACGATTGATTTTCATTTGTAGCATTTTAAATTTGTAGCATTTTTTATAGACAAGATTGCATAGAATTAATTTTAATAGCAGTCATTTATCAATTGATAATTCATAGGCTTATTGGTATCAGCCAAAATGTTTAATATCAATGCATCCCTACTAGTATTTCTAATTAAAGCCGAATAATAAACATACAGGATCAGGAGTGACAGAAAAGATTTGTCTGACCAACATGTAAATTGACCAATCACAGTTTGTTTTAGTGAGCCATTAAAGAATGGGCTTTATCTGAAGTCATTGGTCAGATAAGTGACATTAACCACATTCGAAAGTGGCCTGAATTGGATGTCAAAAAAATCTGATAGTGTTTTTTGCCATTTTTGCAAAATATCCAAGATCCACCTGTGCCAGATGTCAGTGAAATACAATCAGCGTGTAAATGAAACATGTGAAAAGGGCAGGTTCTCTCACCATCTGAATGGGTTTCTTCTGCAGGTCTCTCTCGGTCACCAGTCTCTCCTGGTCGGTGACGTACAGGCCCTTCTGAGCCAGAGCCTGGATGACGGCGTCATGACCCAGCAGAGGTTTGACAGCATCGCTCTTTAAAATCAGACTCCCTGCTCGGCAGTACAGCTCAGCTGACAGCAGCAGGCCCACCACCGGAGGCTTCAGGTGCTCCTGCTCATACTGGTCCCTGTAGAAAGGATCGTTCAGGTCTTCTGGAACACTGTCTGCAAGATGTCAGAACCTCAATTAATGTTATCCATTTTGTAATTAATATACATTTTTCATACTGTACATTATAATGTTGTGATGCCTAAATTCACTTTAGCATTTTCTAAAGTTTGATTTTAGTTTTTAGTAGGTTTTTTTTTTTAGAATCATAATATCGCCTATTTATCGGTTATAGGCCATTACATAAAAACTGTTGTCAGCTTATCACCATTGGTATTTAAATCTAAATACATAATACAAAAAAAAATACAAAATTTTTTTTTGCTATCCTGCATAATTTGCAATATAACCACAGAATAATAGCAAATAGTTATAAACATGCATGAATGAGAAAATAAGACACAACATTCACATTTTGTAGCATTTAAAAAGGCAGACAAAATAGTATAGAATTGTAATATCGTCTATTTATTGGTTATTGGTCTTAATATAGAAAT